GCCCGTCCACTTCCAATTCCCATTCCACCACAAGCGTGACAAAGGAATGCATGATCAAACAATTCCTTTGTCCCGCTTGTGGTTCGCCCCGTTCGGTTCGCGCCCGAGCGCTCCGTTCGTAATGTGCAGTGCCAGGAACCTCAACGTGGAGCGCTCCGTTCCCTCCGACCCCGCACCGACACCGCCGAGGTTCCTCTTCGCCGCCGGGGCACCCGGGCGGCGAAACGGCGCACAGACCGGACGCTCGGTCCGGGATGGGATAGCCCAGGGTCCCCCAGGTTGGAGCGCCAGTGGACTAACATGTCAAGGTCATAAACCTCTAGCAGCACCGACTTCACAGGTCACCAAAGGAAACCTGAGACAGGGCCTAACAAATCTCCATTTCGGAGACCGGACTTGGGTTCGGTGCTGGTGTGAAAGAATTGAGGTAGGACTTAAGCATTGAGGGAACGGTTCCGGATGGTTTTGGACACCACTCATTGTGGAAACCTGTTGGGTTGATGCGTCGCAGATGGGTCATCTTGCCATGAAACTGGGAACCTGACAGGACTTCCGAATGGACCTGCCTTTAGGACCCTTCGAAAGAAAGACGACCCCCCAAAAGACCTGCAGATGGGTGACCCGAACTTGAACACAAGGGCTTTGAAGGGCTTTGAAGGTGTCCAAGTGATCAGCATGTCCATGGTTTCTGCTACGTCCATGGGGTCCATCTAGTATTCGTCAGGCTGAATCAAGACTGCCAAAGGTCAGATGGTGGAAGGTGAGCAGACTTTGAGCCATGGCAGTGGTCTTACGCCGTCAGCCTCTGCATGCATCCAAAGATATCCACAGGGTTTCAAGTTTCTTTAGCTCATGCAGCTCATGCACGAAACCCATATTCGAAAGAAGTCCGCATTTGTTCGCGCCTTCAAGGATCAGCTGAAAACGACCGATCTTCAGGCGGCGACCTTCGTCCACGTGGGACCCTTCAGCGAGGGGAACATGCTGATGCCCTGCCATGGTTGACACGTGGCGCGTGGCAGCGGTGGGTCATGCGAACTACTGGCGAAGGAACTCGGGTTTCCAGGTCGACATTTGGAGGCTCAGCCACCTTCGACCTTTTGAGATCGGATGAAGCCACTTAAGCATGTACAGGGTCACTTAGAGACTCTAAAGAGATCACTTTGAAGGTCAGTATGGCCCTTAGGGATCCAATACCTTCGGTTCGGTACGACTGGACCATCCTGGCGCATAAAGAAGTCTCCAATCACCATTCCCAGAGGGTGGCAGTGGATCCATAAGTATACATACCCTCACTCCAACAGCATGGAAGTAGACAACCCCTAGTTTGTAGAGGAAAATGGTCTTTCATGTCTTTCCAGGGGCCAGGCAGTCTACTTCATTGTTGCAGCGTCTAGGTCACTGGCGATTTCCGGATACATGTGGACCGATTGATCAAACCAAACATCGGAAGCACACCGACTTTGGTGGATTGCGACTTTGTAGGGGCATTTTCTTGCGGGGGAAGGAGAAAGGTTAGCTGGGGATCCCGGCCAAATCACGTGCCACAAACTGAAATGGAGGGAGGCGGCACCTGCAAGGAGCCAAGGTTAGGAATTGCTCCCACATCCGTGGCCACGATCTGTCCCCGTTTTCCGCTGCCGTTCAGCCGGCCAACAGTGTGTGGGGCCGGGACCCGCGACCTGCCGTGTTCGGCGAGGCAGCGGAGGAGCGGCAAAGGATTGGGAGATTAGAAGGTGAATGAAAGCCGAGAAGAATGAGGTTAGGTGAATGGAGGTGAGATTAGAAGGTGAATGGAGGTATATACTCCCCTAGAAGTCCAGCGAACTACCCTAGTGGTGGTGGTGAATACTACCCTATAGAAGTCCAGCGAGAGCTTATGTTGTTGGCCACCACCCAAGCCAAAGGAATTCCTTTTTCGGATCACCTAAAGACCGTTTTAAACATGGTCCTGGACGTTCAGGGTTAAAGTGCCCTTACAAACATCGAAACGGGGTCAGCGTAGGTACTCTCTGAATTACAAACACGGAAGTGGATGGCATGGTCCCTTGGCAGAGCACTTTTCTTTGCACACACGGGGTGCCATCCGCTTCCATGGAACCTGAGGTGGAGTGTAAACCGGATCATGTTCCATAATCCACTCGCATTACATTCCCACTCGCTCACATGGAAGTGGAAAGCCCAGCGTTCATTAAAGGATATGTCCACTTCCATGTTAATGAGTCAGAGTCAGAGTGTGTGTACATAGCATATTGTAGGATAGTATAATTAGGTATGTCTTTACAGACCTTGAGTGTAAGACTTGGTGTGTGCAGTGTTTTATTGCTGGATCTCCTTCCTCCAGCAGCTCGAGGGCACAATTGAGTTGGAATACTTCAGAAAGAATCACAGAAGATTGAACAAATCACGAACTGCACAGGATACAAAGGGCAGGTTGAGTGGGTCAAAGGTGATGGATTACGGGAGGCCAAGGACACTGGCTCTACTGCCCCTTGCGGCTTCAACTGAAATATTGATTTTCCCCGTGGTTAGTTGTACAACACAGCCCTAGAAGTCTAAAGGTTTCTTGGTGCCACCAATATATAGAGGACATTCCTTCTCGGTCACCTAAAGATCGTTCTTTTCTATCGGTTTGGACTTTCATGGGCTTCTATTGTAAACTGATTAGTAACCTCATGAACCGATTCAACCAACAGACCTTCAGTAGAGTGGAATATTGCCTCCCACTGAAACTGCCTGTATCCCTGTATACGCTGCGCCTCGCTCGTAGCCGTAGCGCCCAAGCTGTTGGAGTCGCACGCGGGGCTCGCGCGTTTTGGCCCGGATCCCAGAAGAAAAGCAAGAGGGAATGAAGTTGACGGTTTTTCTTGGTTAGGGGTTAGGAGAGAGCGAAAGCAACTAAGGGACTGGCAGTATACAGGTTTGGAAGACTATGATCAGGTCATCGATCAGCGTGACGGACACCCCAGCGTTGATGAAGAAGTTTGGCCCGATTTGGAGAACCGTAATTAGCATGATGGCAGATCGGGCTGAGACCATTTTGGTCAACTCAGTGGTCAACTCAAGGTCGCTTTTCCTGGATTGGTCACCTTTTGGGACACCCCACCCAAGTCTGCTGAGCCTTTCTCAAGGAGACTCAGTCAGTTGGTGTTGTTTGGAGCTAGGCATAGGGGTGCTTCGCGTACAGTGTGATCTCCTCAATCGCTCCAGCTCGCTTAGGCAAATCCAAGACATGCTTGCGTGTTGTGTTGTTGCCATGTCAGTGTGATGTTCTCCTCCCAGCATCTTTTGCGTTTCTTGCTGCATTTGGCCGCAACAGCAGGTGAATGGCCACCCAACCCACAGCTACGTTTTCGTGCCTATTCTTCGATCTTCCCACATATCTGACTGTGGCACCTTTTTCAACACGGTCCATTCAAGAATGTTTACGCACAGCATCCCCCCATGGAGTCACCACTGCGTTCTTGTAGGACTGGTGAGGACCACACCTTGTCACCCTCCCAGCGCCTCCCGGCGGTGCACCGCCTGAGAGGCCGCCCCGGAGCGATGCAGCAGCCAGCGGACGACGGTGATGCGCAACAAGGAGAGCTGCCGATGCTTGGAGGCAACGAGGCGGCCACGAGAGTCACTGCGAAAGCAGCATGGTGGAGGATGTTGGTGCGACTTGGTGACTTACCCAACTACAGAAGCTCTCAAGATCACTGGGTTGTAGAGGAAAATGGTCTGAATATGTTTTTCAGAGTCTATGTTTGTCTGCGGGGGGGGGGGGGGGGTGTGGAAGATTTGCAGGTCAGTTCGGATGATTGCAGGCGTCAATAGAGGTGTAAGTATTCCAATGGAGTGTTTGGTCACGTAAGTTGCCCTTATAGTTTATTTGATGGTCGCTGCTACATGGATAACTGTGGTACTTCGAGCAGCTAATACATGCGTCCAAGCTCGACTTTGCGGAAGGGTGGTGTTTATTAGATACAGAAGCCACCTTCCATGAGCACATACTTCAAAGCCAACCAAGACACTCAAAACAACCAATCCAACAGTTTGGCAAACCATGTTTGGCACGAGTGGGCACCCGCGTAGTAGCTGCTGAAGCAGGAGGTTCGGAGGCACCGGCTAAGCCAGTGAGGCTTTCAGTTCTGCTTGGGTTTCACAAGCAGTGCTGGCGTTCGTTCGGAGGAACTCCAATTCATGGATTCGAGTGCCTTTTTCGTTGAGAACCAGACTGTTGCTGCGTAATTCGTAAGACGTCACCGCGACTTCGCCTGAGGACGGTGCGCACCGCTGCGCGGGAATTGGGGCTGCTGATAGTGCCCGGGCCAAATTCAGCCAGGCTGTCAGATGATGGGTGGGAGATTCCAGGCTCATACCATGGGTTGAGGGCGACCGCTCTGTTAGCAAATTTTCAGTTTCACACTTTGGATGATCGGATTGGGCGTGCTTGCAGGGGTGGTAAGTGACTAGTCCAGCCTTTGGGCCAGAAAACTAAAGACCGGCTAAAGATATCTAAAGACTCGTTTAAGTTTGAACCGCAGGATGCCACATGTTTTGTTCATATGATACCCAGCTATTACCCAGCTATAACTTATTGAAGGGGGGGTTCCTATGGGTCCCCTTCAGGCCCTCCGGAGAAGCTCCTGCAATGAGCCCTCCATTTGAGGCCGTGGTGCTGCTACTCTCCTGTGATGAGCTGAATCCCGTGAAGGTGGGATGTGGGATGGAGCTGACATCTCCCTGGTTTTGTTTAAGGAGAGTCGAGTATTTTTCCAGGTTCCTTAGACCCAAGTCTCCGAAAGCCCAAGGAGGAGCTCAGAGTTGGGTGAGGTGAGGTATCAATATCAATCTGTCAGCCCTAAGATTCCTCGAGCCCTCCATGGCAGGGGTTTGGGCCTTCAAAACTTTCGTTTGAGGGCCCGGATTCTGGGGAGACGCATGGAGTACTTGGAAATAGGAAATCTCAGTCACATCAGTTTAGCTTTATGTTTCACTGTGGCTCTGTGGCTCCAGCCAATAATGCCCCGCCCCCGCTTCTGAAACCGCAGAGATGCAGGTTACGGCTGTGTCTGGCAACGTGGTTGCTCAGCTTGATGAGGACGAGCTGCATTACATGGTGGAAAGCAGGCAAGCTGTTCGAGACCTCAAGCGACGTCTTTCAGCTCAGGTTGGGTGCTCAAGGTTTCAGCAAAGACTCTTCAGGGACGAGATTGGCGAATTGGAGGATGACTTGCCTGTACGAACACTATCAAGTGCACGGGTGGTAATTCTGCCCTTGTGTGCCCCTGATGAGACCATGGAAGAACAACTATTCGAGACCTGCAGGGAGAATCGCGTGGATCACCTTGAAAGGCAAAAGCCACTGGACCCCAACGGGGAAGGTTTGCTTCTTATTCTCTCCCTGAGGACTCTGCCTAGCGAGTGGCTTTGCGTGTCCTTAACCCGTGACAGGGTGGGACACTCGCAGCGCTACCCCCCTATTGCTGCCAAGGAAGGCCACTTGGAAGTTGCTCGAGGCAAGAGCTGACGCAGGTGCAGCAGATGTAAATGGTGCAACGGCTTTGCACATTGCAGCCCAGAACAACCAGTTGGAACTTCTAGGATTGCTGCTTGATGCTGGGGCAGACCAAGATGCAGCAACATTTGATGGGTCAACGGCTTTGAATACTGTAGCTTATTATGGCCACCAGGACGTTGTTCGATTGTTGCTGGAGGCTGGAGCTGAGAAAGATGCAGGCCAGGTATCGGCTTTGGACGTTGCAGCCCAAACAGGCCACTTGGAAGTTGTGCGATTGTTGCTCGAGGCAGGAGCTGACACGCATGCAGCAGCAGAGGCTGAGGCACCAGGATTGCTCTTTGCAGCCCTGAAAGGCCACTTGGAAGTTGTGAGATTGTTGCTCAAGGCTGGAGCTGACAAAGATGCAGCCTGTCATGGGGCAACGGCGTTGCATCTTGCTGCCATGAATGGCCACCTGGAAGTTGTACAATTGTTGCTGGACCAGGAAGTTGTTCGATTGTTGCTGGAGGCTGGAGTTGACAAAGATAAAGCAGACCTTCAAGGTCAAACGGCTTTGCATTTTGCTGCAGTGAATGGCCACTCTGGAGTTGTGCGATTGTTGCTCGAGGCTGGAGCTGACAAAGATGCAGCCAATGCAAATGGGACAACGGCTTTGCATCCTTTGCATTTTGCTGCCGTGAATGGCCACTCTGGAGTTGTGCGATTGTTGCTCGAGGCTGGAGCTGACAAAGATGCAGCCAATGCAAATGGGACAACGGCTTTGCATTTTGCTGCCATGAATGGCCACTCTGGAGTTGTGCGATTGTTGCTGGATGCCGGAGCTGACAGAGGTGCAGCAGATGCACATGGGGCAACAGCTTTGCGCATGGCAGCGCGGAACGGCCACTTGGAAGTTGTGCGATTGTTGATGTACAGCCACTACTATGGCCATACGTAACTATTTGTCACATAGTTTCAATCCAGGGGAGGTAATTGCTGGGTTCAGAATCTTTGATTGATGTTCAAAGTGCTATGACTCGTCTTCCGCAAGTTTGCTGCACAAAAAGACCAGCGCAGCAGGCCGCAGAGTTGTGTGAGCCCGATTGGCAGAAGATATGGCAACTGGACCAGAGTTCACCCCAAACCAACCCCAAAGACCCTCTCAGATGTTTATAGATTTGTTGGCCCCTTGTCAGTTGGTCCTGTCCGGCTGGGCTTCATCCAAGTTCGTACGGGCAGTTTGTTGTGTGTCACGCTGTTGAACTCTGTTTGCTGGGATAGTCGCTCTCTCCACTGGCCCCCTTCACATCACTGCACAGGGGGGCGCCGTGCCGGTGCTTGCTTCCTCTCCAGGTGCTGTGCAGCTACACTCGCGGTGTGCTCGGTATCGGTGAGGCGGGGAAACATGCGGAAGGATGGACATGTAAATGCCAGAGGTAAGGGAGAACCAGTTCCAAACACTCCATGTATGGCAATATTATAAAATATTATGCCTACATTGACCCTGAAACCACCCCAACTAATCGGCAAATATGGCATCCATGGAGTGTTTGGGAATGGCCATCTTTCTTCCAGCGGAGCAGGGGCACAAACCGATGCGGTGAGGCTGACCACGGCGCGGCAGAACCGGGCAGAACGCTGACGGTTCACCTTTCGGAGCGGCAACGTTTGGGCGGCTTGCGCTAATCAGATCAAGCACCAAACGGCGACGGCTTATACTGGCCTCGACCGGCGATGCCCTTGGGGTTTTCGCTTGCAAGAGAAGGGTGCAAGCTTGCTTGGTAGGGCCAACACCTATACTCGTAAAGCCTTTATTGGTCAAAGATGTTGCTTCCAACCATGATCAGATTTGAAAAGCAGCCTCACTAGACTCAGTCCACATCATTCTGAGTTCTTAGATGCTTATAAAGACCGCTCACGCAACACACGACACACCCATCTACTAAAAGCCTGGCAACCTCAACTTCAGGCATACGTACGCAAATGTGCACCCGCACACGAAAGCACACGCACGCGGGCGCGGGCTCGGGTGCGGGCACACCTAATGGGCGAAGTTGGAGCCACCTTTGCGTCAGCGAACCCTGTAATCACAGATAGGTTTAGGCTAGAAAATGCTGAAAAATAGAGTCTATCTATTGCAGTGTTTTCCACGCCAAAATACGCCATTCCGAAAAGAACCGCCCTAGTTAAGTTTGCGCTGTTTTTGTCCCCTTGCATGCTGCCTTTTTTCACTCGAACTCTGAAAAACATTAGGACTTTACATAATTTTTCGCCTAGCTTCTCAGTTCCAACAAGGACCCAACATGATCAGCATCACCTGCTAGCAGCATCAAGCATCACCAACATTCTCGGAGCTTCACCAGTCTCACCCAAAGCCATCTCGAAGCCGTCTTGCATACTGTCTCTCCCAGGGGTTGTCATCTCGAACATGAAAAAGTGCTTTCTCTCCAAAGCTCTCCACTTTCATTGACAAGTATCCAATAAACTGCACAAACTCACCCGAAACACTGTAATTTACAGTGTTTTGTGCTTAGCCGTAAACCAAACAAAATCCTGAGAGCGCCCTCCAAGCCCCCTAAGGAATTTAGCCTTTGTGTCAACAATGCTGCTCGTATTCTGGTGATGCCAATAATGCTCGACACAAATGCTACCTTTTGCGTATTTTCTTCTCTAGAGATAAAGCTGTACAGTCGCCATTTTTTGACATGTTTTTGACCTTTTTTCAAGTAAATTCACACGTCCTGGTGATGTTCAAATGTCCGTTTGCGGACTACATTTCTAGCACCACGTAGGCTTATTATATGGCTTTTTCAAAAAGTCGCGAATATAAGCTTAATATCGCAGTCAGGACTTTGTAAAGCCTACACTGTAGCCCCAAGGCCGTTTGTTCATAAAATACATACATTTTTACAAAAACACTGTTGCTCCCAGTCATACACCAAACCAACCCCTCAAAGCATCCTCCCGAGCCCCGAAATTTGCATCTTTCCTGCTGAGACTCTGCTGATGCTAATGATGCTCAACCAAAATATGTCCTCAAAATTGATATCAATTTTCAATGATGTATTTCAGTGGCAGCAGAGGCAGCAGCAGCAGCAGCATCAGTTGTTGTTGTTGTTGTTGTTGTTGTTGTGGTTGTTGTTGTTGTTGTGGTTGTGGTTGTTGTTGTTGTTGTTGTTGTTGTTGTTGTGGTTGTGGTTGTTGGTTGTTAGTTGTTGGTTGTGCTTGTGGTTGTGGTTGTGGTTGTTGCGGTTGTTGTTGTTGCCTCTTTGTTTTGTTTTTTGCTACTGTTGTGGTTGTGATTGTCATTCTTGTTGTCGTTGTTGCTCTTTGTTTGGAAGAGGAGAAGCAGAAGCAACCAACAGTACAAAATGCTGATAATGCAAAACCACTCGGGCAGCATATCTCGCGCCACTGGCCCTTGAAAGTATGCATGTTGATGCCATGCGGGTGCCCCTGCTTTTATGGTGATCCTTCGAAACCCATAACCCCAGAGCGGCCGCGGGCAGGGAACGTGTGATGCGGTAAGGAGTTGGACGCCTTTGAAGGCTCACCAAAAAAGAGGAGAGGAGGAGCAGGGGAGGAAGAGAGGAGGAGGCAGGAACAGGAGACAGCAGGAGGACAGGAGACAGGTCCCCCGCGCGCTGCAGAGTTCTAAAACCCTCAGGGGAAATGCCGAAAATTTGGCCAAAATCTGGCAATTTCTCGCAAGGCGATGGTTGATTGCCAAGCCCCAGGGCCGGCCATACATATACCGAACTAATCCTCAGGAGGCTCTTGGTCCTAGAGCGGGGTCGGCGGATGTTTGCCGGTCGCCGTTTGGGACGGAGTTGGTTGAAATCAATTGGTGAGTTGCGTGGAGCAACCACTAGGCCCTCACTAGGCTATACCCAACTGTCAAGAAGATCAGGCCTTTTCGTGGCATCTCGCATCCTTCTTGGGAACCGTGAATAGTATCAAGTCCTGGCGGGAAGATTAACATGAAAGCTGACAGTGGACCAGACTGGAAGGCGTTTTTTCCTCTATAACCCTAATTGTTTGTCAGGTTTCATGTAGACCTCTTCCAGGGTGTAACTGTATATCATCACAATCCTCACACCAAACATACCGTTTCTTGCGCGGTCACGTTATCCTTGCACCTCGCAGCTCCCCCACGGATGTGGGGTGCTTGCTGGTAAAAATCAGTCCCACAGGACCCAGCATCGGCGAGACTCCCCTTTCCCAGCTATATAATCTATATAACTGTTGGTATCTGGGACTACCTGCAAGATGGACGTGGTGGCGCCCACAAGGTTTCGAGAAAGCACATGGTCTTTGAAGGGTTGTTCCACTTCCAATCTTAGTGAGTCAGAGTGTTCTAGAGTAGAAAGCACGCACCAGTAGACGCCGCAGGGGCATTTTACCATCGCGGCGGCAATCCTTCTGACGGCTTTCGGTGTGAATCAACGCGATCACATCCTTTACACCTGCGCCAGGACACGCGACACCCGTCGAGAGACGTAATCGGAACGTGTTTTTGTAGCGACCGTGGTTCTTGTCGTCAAAGCAGCGTGGAGACACTAGGGGGTTACGGTAGAACTTACTTGTTTTAGTCTACTTACTATAAGTTACAGGAATTCCACTCGATGTTTTGCGCCTTTGGTCCGGGCCACTTCTTTCGAAAGAAGTCCGTCTTGAGTGGTGTTTCACCACCGATCTTCGGACCTTGTTGTTCTCAGCACCGATCTATGGACCTTTGTTTGTTCAACTCCCACATCCCCGAAACCCCAAAAACCCAACAACGCCATGTGTAACAAGTGCCTCGGCTCCTTTCTCATCGGTGAGGACCTTCTTTCGGTGTACCTTCAATAACATCTTCTTTAGCTCTGTGGAGATCGTCGGCTTAGAGCACCTCCCGAAGGACGGGTCGGGTTAGCGAGTTCCGTCCATGCCGGTCCGGGAGCCGTGGGGTTCCGTGGAGGGGCCGGTTGGAAGAAGGCGTTTTTCTTTTCACATTCGAAGGAGCCCGATTTCCAGAGCTCTTCGGCATGCTGGAGAGAATGGTTTTTGGGCGGATGAATTCAGTCCGATGCAATTTTTCCATGCATGAATTGGGTCAGGTCGACTTTGGGGAGGTCTTTGGTTGTAACTAGGTCAGACTCCGTGACATCAGTGGAGGTTCTGACTTCGATTCTATGACTGGCGATAGGTGGGTGGTGTTTTTTGGGTTCACTGGGGCTTGCGATGTGTGCCAGATGTGTGCAGCTGACTCGCGAGGAGGGGCCGGTCATCATGACAGGGAACCACAACAACCAGCGACTTGCTGTTGTTCATTCACCGGCGACTGGGCGGTGGTGTGGTCAGGGCGCCAGCAGGACTGGCGGCCCGGCTAGCTGGCCAGCTGATGGAAGCAGATGGACCAGCTAAAAAATGTTCCACCTGCATGGTTTGTTTTCCATTGATTACCTGTTTAAACAAATCAGCGGGCAATGGAATATGACCTCATGTGGTTGATTTCAACTTTGGTATATGTATTCCGACTCGGGGCTGCTAGAGGGGCCTTTGCCTCTGGATGCCTCGCCATGCGCCACATGTGGTCGCTTTATGTT